TATATTTTTTTTTAGATTTTTCAGATTTTTTACTGATAACTTTTTCTAATTATATATGAAGTTAATTAATTTTTATTAATTATTAATTAGTAAAAATTAATTAACTTTATAAAATTATAATTAATAAACTTTATTTTGATATAAAAATAAAAATTATTTCTTAATTAAATTATAAATTTTAATATAAAAGAAACTTTTAATTTTTATTATATTTTATTAATAAGTTTAGTTTTTAATATATTATTTTTGATAAATAAAATTTATTAAATACTAAATTTTTTTAATTAATTTTTTTATATATATATTATAATTTATTTATTTATATATATTTTTCAGAATTTTTTAAAGAATTATTTTAATTATAAAGTTATTATAAAATATATTTTTAATTAAAAATAAATTTAATTAAAAAAATTTTATAATAACTTTATAATTAAAATAACTTTTTAAGAATTTAGAAAATAAATTTTATTTTTTTATAAAAATAAAAATATTTATTATAAAATTATAAATTTTAATATAAAAAGAATTAATTATAAATATATCTTTTTAATATATTATTTTTAATATTATTATATATTAATATAAATATTTTCTTTATTTTTTTTATAAAAAATTCTTATTTAATATAATTTATAATAACTCTTATAATTATAAAATTAGAAATCAATTTATTAATAAAATATAATAAAATTTAAAATTTTCTCTTTATATTAAATTTATAATTTTATTAAATATAGTTTTTATTTTTATATTAAAATAAAGTTTATAAATTAAAATTTAATATATATTTTTTTAGATATTTTTGAAAGAGTTATTCTAATTATAAAGTTAATAGAAAAATTTTTTATTAATTATATTTTATTTTTATTTAGTAAAAATTTTATATTGATTTTATAATTCAAATAACTTTTAGAAAAAAATCTAAAAAATCTAAAAAAATATATATTAACTATAACTTATAAATTTTATTTTGATATAAAAAATAAAAATATTTCTTAATAAAATTATAAAGTTTAATATAAAAAGAAAATTTCAATTTTTATTATATTTTATTAATAAATTTAGCTCCTGATTTATTACTTTTGATCACTATTATATATATTTAATAATCTAGTAAATAAATTTATTTAGAAGTATTTAATAGCTTATTTTAATAAAATTTTTATAATTAATATTTTTTTATTTTTTCTAAAAATTATTAATTATAAAAAATTTAAAATTTCTTTTTTAATTTTTTTTATTTATTATTTAATAAATATTTATTAAGATTATATAAAACTTTAAATATATATACTTAATAATTAATAAACAAGATTATTTAAAATTAATTTATAAAATAATAATTAAATTTAAGTATAATAATTTTTTTAAGTTTTTTTTATTATTGCAAATTTTAATTATAAAAATATGAATTATAAAAAATTTTAATAAAATAAATATTCAAATAGTTTTAAGTAAAGTTATTTATTATGCTCACAAGTTATATTTAAATTTTTATATTATTTAAATAAATATTTATAAAGAAAATCAAAAATTTTAATTTTTTTATTTTATATTATATATTCTTTATCTAATTAAATTCAAATTACTCAAGATAATATATAAAAAATTTAATAAAAATAAAAAAATAGTATAATTAAAAACTTTAATATTCAAAATTGATAAAAAAAATATTAATATATAATATGAAATAATATATATTAAAAAAAATAAGTTCAAAATTTAATAGAATAATAAGTAATATTATATTTATGAGATATATAATAATAATATTTATAAGTTATGAAATTAGTATAATTAATTAATAAAAAAAATTCTTTAATAATATATAATTCAAATAATATTACAAGAAATTAAATTCTCTAGAGTATATATTAACATTTTTATTATAAAATAATTAATATAATATACTAATAAATATTAATTAATAATTATATAAAATAAATATTATTTAAATATTTTAATCTTTAATATTTTTAAAGAAAAATAATCATAAGTTATAATATTTAATAAAATAAAAAAGTTATAGTCTTTATCTTACAACTTATTCAATTGCTATAAAAGTATAATTTTAATGATATTATTAATCCTATAAAAGATTAACTAATTCTTATTAAGAAAGAATAAATATAAGTTATCAATCTTAATTTATTAATAAATAATATAATTTCAATTAAATTAAGATCAGAATAATAATTTCTAATGAAATAATCAAAACTAATACTATTAACTTCAAAGTAATAATAACTTAAATTCAAGAATACTCTAAGTTTATACTTATATAAGAGAATAAGATCAAATTAGTTATTATAAATCTCATTTGATCTGATAGAATAAATACTCTTTAGCTATAATAATATTATTATCTTAGTAAACTAATATATAATATGTCATAATGACATAATTGATAATTTTATATATTCAAAAAGGGATACAAATAACAGAATAATATTATTATAATCAATTATTACTGGCAAATTGGAAAGTATACTTTCTAACTATTTCAATATATTAGCTCAAATAAGATTGATAAGTAATTGTTCTTAATATCTGACAATATATTCCAGCTCTAATTAGATGAAATAAAGAAACTTATTTAGTAATTATAATAATTTTGATAGAGCTCAATCTTATAAAATGGACAAAGATTATAATTATTTTATTAAAATTAGTAATTCTAAAGAGAATTATTCTAACTATTAAATATTTTACAAATATCACATACTTTTTAACTCTCTATTTTTTAGCGTTATTCAGTATCATATTCATAATCATATTCACTTTCCTTAAATTATAGTATTCTTTAACCACCAAAACAAGGATCTATACGCGAATAGTCATATATACTGAAACTAAATTTATATTTACTTAAAACTCCATTGGACCTCATAATGTTACCAGAAGCAAATTTATATAAAAAACTGCTCTTTAATTCAATGGGATTACAACCACCGATAATTTTGTTAGAATCTTTGACATGTATGGCAACAATGGTCGGTCCTTTATTATCATATAAACGGTGTAAGAATAGTCTAAATTCAAATGGATAATTTTCTTCCTTATCTTGACCTTTAATCCATTGAGTAATTTGGTTTCGAAAAAGGATAGTTGATATTGGTTGTGAGAATTACGAATGGGATGAAGTGAAGCTTGTTGTTCTTCACGTCCAGGTATCAGGTAATGAAGCAATAAATCATTGTAAAGTTTTTGGTAATATTTTCGAGTATGGTAATATTTTGTTATAAAAATCAACGAAGTTTATATGAACAATTTTTGATTGTAGAGTTGAGTTGTTTGAATTCGTTTTATGACTATTGATCCGCTGGAATCGATAAATTTACATTGGCACTTAAACGATTCCCAACTCAATCACTTTTTCCCAAATTTCAATTTCTTTAAGATTTAAATCATCACGTTTGAGCAAATGGTGTTTGATGTTTCTTGAATATTTGCGAAATCATTGGATTGAAAAACTGCAGCAGGATTTTTACAAGTAATCTCTATACGGAATTTCTGGAATTTTACAAATGAATTATGTTGAAAAGCGGTTTGATTTATCAAAACAAAATTTTCAACCATGGATTCAGAATGTTGTTCCAAAAGAAATTCTTGAATATATTCAATCATATCTTCAAGAGTCAAAGTGTTGGCACTCCATGATCAGACAAAATGATTTTGCCATCGTACATGTATCTTATAACCATAGAAATTAATTTCAATTTAATAATTTAAAACATTATCATTAAAGGTTATCTGCGGTTAAATATTTTCTAATGTTCAAGTTGCCATTTCTGTAAATGCCATTAAAAGATGTGCACTAATGCTAGCATGTACTGTGATAAATTCAGAAAAATCACGTATTCTTCAGAGTAGTTATTAATAATTCATTGTATAAATTTAGCTGCTATATTGATTTATTGAGAAATTTAGCCGGAGAGAGAGTTCATTACATCAGCTTTCACTATATATGTTTAAGCGAGGAAATATCAGAATTAAAAATTGCAAACATCTTGTAAGACCAAAAACTTCCAATAATTTATGTTTAGAAGAATGATATTAATTTATTAAAACATACCTAAAGACTTGAAAAATTATAGAGAAATAACAAGCTAACCATTAAGCACATAGAATAAAAGGTACATACAAAGATATAAATTATATATATGGTATAGCGTTATGTTTAAAATTTAAAAGACAATTAAACAAAAAAATCAAACAAAATTATTTTGTTTGAAGGAAGATTTATTTAAGGAACCACGACGATTTCAGCAGATCCGCGAACATCATCATCTCCACCAAGCGAGTTTTCGAATGCTACTACGCAAAACTTGCCTAAGAGACTTGTAAATGGCACGGGTAAACTAGATGCAGGTATAGTAACGCTAAATGGTTCATCAATATGAGGATTAGAATGAGCGGGTGTAACCCAATCTTCCAGATCGAAAACAGAGTCGTCTGGGCAAGTAGGGTCAGTGACTATATGAATGTCATAGTAATTCCATTCTGGTTTATAATCGTACCAGTTGGGCCAAAGAACTGAATTGAGCTGACCAAAAATTGTTACATCGCAATTTTGATCTTGTTCAAATTTAATATCTCCCAAAACTTGCTGACTTGGTGGTCCGAAGGGTACAAAGCTGCACCAGTAGTCTACCTTGGTACACGATTTCTTTTCAATTCCCTTTGGCATAGCATTGACTGATGAGGAGAAGGCGAAGATAAAGAAGGTCAGAGTAACCAAAAAAACCATGGAAGAGGTCTGCTTGCACATTTTCGTTTCGATCAAATCGCAGGGTTAATTGTTAAGTGAGCTTTATTGAATCTTGTAGAGTATGAAAGCTGTGGTTTTTTGAATGTGAATTTATTGTTTCTACTATTGGGAAATCATTTGAATAGTTCACCTTTTTATAGATGTGGAACTTGCAAAAATACCTATGAGGAATTACAAAAAATTAAAGAGAATAAGAGAAATTATTATAAATTGCATGAAAGTTGTAGATGCTTTACTATTTTTACCACAATTCAGAAGTACTGTATGAAAATGTACATAAAGAGAAAGGGGAATGCCAGGAATCACGTAATTAAATTTTACTATGAGCCAACCCCTCTTCCCTCCTTGTCATATTAATTAATAACGTGTTCATTAGAAATCTCTAATTAACGCATACTTGATTTTTTAGACGACTATGAATTTATCATTACATGATTTTTAAATTGACACAACTTTCTAAATTTATACATCTAATTAACGCCGGACTGCGCAATGTTAAAGAATACAGAAGCCTCTGTTACATCTGTAACGGTAAATACAAGTGTTGATTTTGATGGTACGTAGGACAGACAAGTATATACATGTACATGTATGTATATGTATGAGTATTTGCCGTTACAAATCGGTATGCAAAAGAAAATTCTAGAATAGGATATGTTTCTCCGAACTTGAATTTTTGTTGTTATTGTTACTGATAACCTAAAAAAATTTATATCAGGGCGGAAGTATAACAAAGAATAACTCTCAAAGCATGGATTCTGTGCTCATTTTTCAACAAGTATTGGCATAAATTTGTGGTAAGCTACTCCTGAATTTTGAGATAGTGAGATATAATTAACATGAGGAAAGTTCTGTCTATAAACTAAGGTTGCACGATGAGAAGAGCAGTATTAGTGTACTGTTAACATTTTCTCATTACTTTTTCTAATTCATGAAATTATGGTAAGATCAGCCTCATGTTAGATCGTGCGTAATCAGCACATGTTCTTCAATATATATTTTGCTATTTTTTAATGTTGATTGTCGAGATTTTTATTGTACAAATTATATAGCGGAATTGATATTTCTTTAAACCAATTGACAAAGTGTTTTGACAATATGTATAAAGAACAGCTCTTGGTCCATTAATTTAAATACATGTAAAAGAAACCCTTTGTGATATCATTTTTGGTTGACGGTTAGGTCCTTGATCTAGAAAAGGCAACGAATCAATGAAAACTGATTGATTTATATGATAGTTGTGTTTAGGAGTTCAAGGCTTTTATTTAGAAAAGATTATTTAGGAATTAGATTAATTCATAGAAAAAGTTAAAATAAAAAATAATTTCCCTTTTCTAATCCCAAACCTAACTTACCATTCTCTCGGTCTATCTGACTTATTGAACGATATACAGGAATTAGATCTAACACTACTCTTTCCCAAAACCTTGTTGTAGGCAAAATTCTCCAAATTCACATATAAAACATATAAAAAGCTTTGATAGCATTGGCATCCCAATGAAATTAAAAAGCGTAAAAAGAGATTTTAAGTACTTTTTAACAAATTGGATTCACATTATCAAGTAAAAACCATTATCGAGTAATACGGTAAGGTACATGTGCTAAATACACTATTTAGAATGCAATATATGTGTCTTATCATCGCAACCAAACGACAATGGATATTAGAGTTGCAAACCGAATTTAAATATAAATTCGAATTTGATATGAATACTGTGGCCTGCAAAATAACGCACCACTTACATTGCCAACTGTTAATAACCTGATTTTCACTTACATACAATCCAATGAACACAAAATAATAGTCTAATACATGTGCTCTGCAACAAATAGTAAATAACGGATAAACACATTATTATACATGTATTAATTTGTCTATAATCCGGATCGATTCGTCAAAGTCCGAGTGCATTGTTTTTGCTGTTTTTTGTCAAAAATGTAAAGAAAATATCTAACTTTTCTTTGAACATATAAAATCAAAAATATGATTTCTTAGCATTTATTTTTTAGAATTAACGATTTTTTTTACAATATAGTGACTGATAAAAAGTATAAAAATATTAATTAATTATTAATAATTTTACTACAGTGGCGACCAAAAGTAATGACTCTGGGGCTAAATTTATTAATAAAACATAATGAAAATTGAAATTTTCTATCTAAATTAAAATTTATAATTTTGTTAAGAAATAATTTTTATTTTTATATTAAAATAAAGTTTATCTGTTGTAGTTTAACATATATTTTTTCAGATTTTTTAAATTTTTTCTGAAAGAGTTGCTCTAATTGTAAAGTTAGTGCAAAAATTTTTATTAATTAAATTTCATTTTTAATTAGT